TTTTGTATAAAAATGTTTTTTTTATAAAATACAACTTTTTCATGCATAACCTATCAATTTTTAATTTATTAGATGATTTTAACTGATTAAAAACGATTTTTTAAAAAAATTTGAATTTATTTATCTTGACAATTTTTCTAACGTTAGGGAGTAACTGGGGTGTCCAGACACCCCAGACGTATTTTAACAGGAGATAGAGCTCTTCCTAGAGCAAAACTTTTGGCGGCACATACAGGTGTCAAAAGATAGAGGTTCAAACTAAATTATCAACGGGTTTTGAGCGTAAAAAAATTATTGGTTAAGCCATGGGAATACTTTGAATTTTGCTTGGGGTGTCCAGACACCCCAGTTACTCCTTCTAGGGTTAAGACATCTTTTGTCAAAGTCCAAAAGACATCCATATAATCCTTAATGGATTTTTATGAAATTTGGTACCCTAAGGTTTCTGGGGTCGCTGATTACGAATCTAACATAAGTTTTTCGAAATTCAAAATGGCGGATCCAAGACGGCCGAAATTTTTCCAAAATTCGTTGAATTTGCTTGAAACTTGTTACTCGGGGGTTTTAAGGGTCGCTGATTACGAATCTAACATTAGTTTTCCAAAATTCAAAATGGCGGATCCAATATGGCGGACAACGAAATAAAAAATTGATCAGATTGGCTTGAAACTGAATACTTGGGGATTTTCAGGGTCGCTGATTACGAATCTGAAATCAGTTTTTCCAAATTCAAAATATCTGGTTCAATATGGCGAAAATTTTTTAAAATTTATTGAATTGGTTTAAAACTGGTTAATCTGACATCAGTATAATAATTTTTTGTGAAATCAAATTTTGATAAATACCCTGAAAAACTAATGTCAGATTCGTAATCAGCGAACCTAAAAACCCCCGAGTATTCAGTTTCAAGCCATTATAAGTAATTTTTTATTTTGTCGTCCTCCATATTGGATCCGCCATTTTGAATTTTAGAAAACTAATGTTAGATTCGTAATCAGCGACCCTTAAAACCCCCGAGTAACAAGTTTCAAGCAAATTCGACGAATTTTGAAAAAATTTCTGCCATCTTGGAACCGACATTTTGAATTTCAAAAAACTGATGTCAGATTCGTAATCAGCGACCCCAAAAACCCCCGAGTATTACGTTTCAAGTCAATCTTATTAATTTTTGCTTCCTCATGAGGAAGCTTTGCATTCGTGACGATTTTCAATTTTTCATAGGAAGGTTATATGGATTCTAAGCAATTCTAAGCAAATGTCTAGATGTATGTGTGAGTGTGTGTATGTGTGTGTGTGTATGTCACACAAAATTGTGTACAAATTATCTCAGACAAATTTTGATGGATTGTCCTGAAACTTTGCAGGTTTATTGCAGTTATTAGTACCTAAAATAGGCACAAGGATTTTCAAAAATACCTACAAAATTTTTTTTTATACAATTTTTTTAAAATTAAAAAAAAAATTTTTCTATTTTTTGAAATAATTTTTTTATTTGTTAATATTTTCACTAATTATTCTTAAAATTACATTCCTGACATGAAAACGAATCGATTTATGTATACAAAGTATATATATAATTAAAATTTACAAAATTTATAAATATTTTTCTTTTTCACAAAAAATTCAAATTTTGTATTTTTTTCATAATTTATTTAATATTAATATTAATATTTTGAAATGATTATTCTATCATAAAAAAGAAGCAATTGGCATATGAAAGTGTAAAAAATTACCAGAACCCATAAATCACTTATTTATGCTAATGATTAATTAGAATGAGAATAAAGTTTTAAATATAAAAAAACATTGTTATAAAAATAAATTAATATAATTTTTTTATTTTTAAACAAAATTGATAAATGTTTGCATTTATGTGTGTGTATGTTACCGATTCTATGGGATAAATTTAATTTTATACATATGTTCATACATATTTCTATTTATATATTGAGGAAACTAAATGGTCATGAAATGAACAACTTGTTTAATTTTCGAAGGCTTATTTTAAAGTTGAAATTCTAACGAAGATTTATGTGTTTTTAAAAAAATTTTATCTAAATTTTTCTAGATTTTTGAAAAAGTTGAAGTCAAGAGACAAAAATGAGAAAATTTGATAATTTTTTTTATTTCTTTCTCACTCTACAACTCAAGAAATAGTTAACGAAATTACTTCAAAGACAGCTTATTTTACGCAAAATTTAATCAGCTTTCTAGCCGTATTTTTTTGTTATTGATTTTTTCAAAATTTTTTCAAAGTTTTGTTATTTTTTTGTAAGTTTTTGTTATATCTCCTTTTATTTACGAGATATGATTGAAAAAGTGATGGCATGTTTTTTTATAAAGTCGCGTGTAATCGTCCGGACACTCGTGGATGGTAGTGTAACAGATAATAAAAATGCAATATTGAATAATAATCATATGAATGAATTTTTAAAAGCTCAATCTGGACACTAGATTTACACTCATTATGATGAAACCAGACTTTACATTTTTGACAGTTTTAACAAAAATTCTTTAAATGAGGATCAAATGAACTATTTAATTAAATAATATCCATTTAAACCACCAGTGGTTCTTTTTTAAAAGTTTATCAACAACCGTTAGGCAATGTTAAAGTGACCATATGGAAATAGTGTCAATGCGGGACGCCCGCTTGTTTATATGATTTAGTAAAAAAAAAAAGGTTATTTGTCACAAGGAAAAAGAATCAGGGAATTTGTAGGAGTCAATTGGAGCGGAATTGAAACTAAGGCGCATCTTATGACATTTACATATTTATATTATGCTTATTTTGTAACATTAAATCACATATTTTTTTAACGATCGAATTTTTCTTAAAATATCACGAAGTCTATCTCTCTCACACTTATATACGCTACTGTGCTAATCTGTAGATGCAGGATATTCTTAACTATTTTCCGGGATATGCAGGACATTTTATGTCAAATGCGGGACGTTTTGCGGGACGCTGGCCTTTGCGGGACAAAGGGGAAAAATCCGGGACTGTCCCGCGCAATCCGGGACGTATGGTCACTTTAGGCAATGTTGATTGTGGACTATTTGCAATAGCATTTGCAACATCTTTATTTTTTAATGAAATACCAAACACTCTTTATTATGATTATTGTCATATGAAGAATCATTTAAAGTTAATTTTTGAAACCAATTATTTAAGTCGTTTTCCGGAAGAAAAAATTCTATTATATTAATCCACGTTTAATTGTTAAGTATAATTGAAAGTGTCTTTCAAGTGATCCAGTTAAAGAACTTCTATGTAGAAAAATTAACCCCAATATAATTATTGATCAAGAAATTCCGTGTGGAAGAATTTAAAATAATGCAAAAAAAAATTAACAATCCTTTAAAGTCGCAACAATATTGTGCCATACTCAAATTAAAAAAATCCTTTTATAAAAAAACAGTGTACAATGTCAAAAATAATATAGAGAAGTATTACTTAAGCATAAAAATTTGTTTAGTCAAGTTATTGATTCAAATGATGATAACATGGAATCTGTTAATTTAGAAAATATCGTTGCTCCTATTCCCATAATAGCAAATATATACATGATAGTGTAAAGGAAACAAATTCTCTATTTAAAACTGTTCAAAGACATATAGTATATCTCCGGCTAATATGGCTGTGCCCATGGGCATTAATGGGTTATTACAAATTTTGTAAGTGGACTGACAATTCTGGCCTGTACAGTATAAATTACCGAAAAAACAATATAAAACAAATCTATTTTATGAATTTGATTTTAAAAAACAGCTATTCAATTAGTAATGTATAAAAAGTTAGCCCAGTTTAAATAAAGAATGATCGAAATTTGTTAGTTTGTACCAAAGTTAAAAATTTGCAGAAATACATATTTAATTGAATGGCGTTAATCCCAAATTGTTAATCCCAAATCATTTACAAGTAAACAAATGAACTAATTTAACTTAAAACCTGTCATTTTACAGGCATTTCCGTGCTTTATTACTTTCAATAACAACTTTTTTCTCTTAAATTCAATGGGAAAGAACGGTCATACAAAAACTGTTTTTCGGCACCTTTGACATTGTTTATAAGATTTAATTAAATCTCAAGTGATCGAGGAACATAAATGTATATATTCCCCATTTGAGATTTTTTTATAATTATATGTATTCATACTATCACCCCACACTGTTTGAACCCACAGTCAAAAGTGAAGTATCCATTTTGGCAGAAAATCCAACTTTTTTCATATGGAGACTGGATTAGTACTGAATCCGTCATTTCAGTGTAAGTGCAACTCGCACTTGTTTATGTCGCAATTAGCATATCCAGTGAGTTTTTAAAATTCCTTTCGCTATATTAGATTCACAAATAATAATTTTGAAAAACACATCATTTTTGTAATCATCGACTCCGAAAAGCCGTGAATAACGAATTTTCAGCAAATCTAATCAATTTTTTAAAAAATTGTTAGCCATATTCGATCCGACATTTTGAATTGAAAAAAATTTGAAGAAATGACAACAGATTTAACAAAAAAAAAGATTTTTGCAAATCTTACAAGAATATACTTGTGTTTATATTGTTATAAGAAACTTGTTATTAATTTATTGTTCTATAAAATTTGTCCATAAAGTTGAATAAGTTTGCGGGTCACTCTCGTTTAGAAAACAATAATGTTTTGATTTTTGACAAAGTTATGGATTTTTGAATTCAAGTGGTTTTGATTGAAACCACTTATTATAAGGGGTTAACTTATAATAAACTTTTTTACTAAAATAGTAGGGTAATATAACCTTGAGTGGACCACCTGAATTTTCAAGTGATCTGACAGCAGAAACGTGAAATAAATAGTGGGAGTAGCAGCTCCGCACCCAGAACCAGTAAGAAATTAAATTCAGCAATAAACATAGGCAATAGGTATACGTTTTCTTTCATAAAGAATTTTTTTGAAAAAAGACTTAGGCGGTCCAGTCAAGGTGACATTACCCTAGAATATAATACTTTCTTAACTTACTACTGAAAAGTGGTTTGTTGTTTTTGTCGAATCTGGCAAAAATAGGTTGAACTAAAGAATGACCAAAACGAAAAGCAGCTGTTGCAAACTCATTTATAACGTTGGGATTAGTTGTAGAATCATATTCGTCAAAGTATCCTGACATCATTATATCCAATTTGAAATCCTTCATAACATCATGACCTGAAAAATTTTAAATTGCTCAAGGTATCTGTCTGACTTCATTTGTTCAGTTGTTTTGTAGATTTGGGTTAAATGTTTCTTAACTGTCTTTTACCTAATACAATTGGTAGAAATTCTCGATATGTGATGTGTTGTATGATGGCACCGACTATTTTTCTAGTTTCTTGAAACATTTTTTCCTCACTCCAATGTGGATTTATGATAGCAATCTGCGTTGCAATTTTGTTATGTAGTCGTAAGAAGACTACATGAAGAGATGTTAAAGCAGGATTTTCACCAACACGACCATCTCCTGCGATGAAGCAACTTTGGGATAAAGATCCTAATTGACATATGTCTGAATTATCTTTAGTTGCTAAGTTTCTATTATTCTGTAGCTTTCCATATTTTACTAATCCTGTAATTATTATTACTTTTGAAGTTATTTATTGTTATCAAAGTAATAATGTAATATAATTTAAGTAGTTTTTTTAAGGACCTTAATTTTTGAATATATATGTATTTTATGACAGTTGGTCCAATAAAAGAGATAAAATTTTAATAAATCGTTTGAAGATAATTTTTTTCACCGCTAATGCATTTTCGCCATGTACATGTCTCATCAGGAACTAAAATTAAAAAATCATCGATCAACAAAGGAACCGCATTTTTAGAGGTTTAGAAATAAAATAAATAATAAAATAAAACCTTAAATAAAATAAAAGACTCCAGCGAAGTTGCACCAGTAAAAGAATATTGACACCAGTAAAAGAACAAGCTTATTATTTATCACGATATTTCACAAATTACAACTTTTAGCATTATAAACAAATATTTTTTTAGTTCCTTATTTCTTCAAAATATAGTTTATGATAAAAAAATAGATTCAATATGCAAGTTATTTCTGAAAATAATTTTGTAATGTTTTGGTGGGTTATGAACATGACAAATGAACGAAGCATCAACAGAAAAAAGATTACAAGTTTCAGGTGCAATTAAATAATATTTCTGGGTGCGTAATCAGGAAAATATGAATAATAGTAAGTTGCAAAATTGTTTTAGAATATTTGTGACGTTTTTCATATAATTTTTGTTATTTTTAGACACTGTATTAATATAAATTTAATATGTTTTTTCATTAGAAAATACAACTGTTCTTTTACTGGTCAACATTCTTTCACTGGTAAAATGGACATTTTTCAATATTTGATTAAAATTTGATATAATATGTTATATTTATAAAATTTGTATCTTAGGCTTCAAATTCTTTAGAAATTTTCTATTCATTGTATATGTTTAAAACCAAATTCATGAATGTCAGATAAAAGTAAAAAATATCGAAAGTATACATTTCCTTAAATGTTCTTTCACTGGTGTCACTACCCTAGTCAGGAAAACAATGATTGGTTGAATTTTTAAATGTAAACGTCGAAAACACTAACAGGGCGATACAAAATATATAATAATAATAATAATAATAATAATAATAATAATAATAATAATAATAATAATAATAATAATAATAATAATAATCTCCGCCGCTGGTTGTCCACTGCCGAACGTCGTTGATGTCTTTGATGTGCTGGGCGAAGCGAGCCCGCTGCCAAATGTCATTGATTTCTTTGATGTGCTGGGAGAAGTGGATCCACTCCCGAACATAATTGATTTCTTTGATGGGCTGGGAGTAATGGGTCCACTGCCAGACACGACTGATTTCTTTGATGTGTTGGGAGAAGTGGGTTCGCTGCCAGACACGACTGGCATCTTGGATATGTTCGGTGGACCTTGCAGCGGTGGCGGGGCTTTCCACCAAAGGGCAACCAAACAGTACACTCTACACATACACTTCTCTACACATATATGGGTTACACACAATGACATCACTTATACATCTTCTTCACACATATTCACAATACACTTATCACACCCATATGACAAAAAAAGAAAAAAGACATAAATATGAGTAAGGAGAATTTTAAACTACCCCAAGGAGGAACCCCGAAAGGGGCCCCACGGATTTGGGGGGGGAGCAAAACAATAATCAGCTGAAAAGCTATGAGGCAAATGTCTCAGACCAGTTCCTGGCTATTCCGGGAATTTTTAAAAGCTTGCGCCAAGGATTCAAGCGACAAAAAAACGTCAGTCGTGACATCCAGGATGGCGTGACGGTCTTGGAATGTGCGTTCGATATAATCTGTAAGAATTTACGTTTTATCCCCGAGCCTTTCAAAGACCAAGAACCGCAACATCCAACAGTGGGAGCTCCACAGCAAACGGAGAGCGTTACTCCAGCTCTGGACGGCGCAACGACATGCCCTAATAAGGCAAAGAGCGTTAATAAACGCCCCAGGGAAGGTGCAAGCCCAGATGCGAGTCCGCAACGGGCGACTCAAGGCGGGAAAAGAATCAAGCGAAAGGATGCTCCACAGCTTGGTTCTGAGTCGCTAGTTGGAACGAAAGAGGCGCCCTCAAATAGTCCTGGCAAGTCGTATGCTGAGACCGTCTTGAAGGACGGAGCGGACAATGGGGACGGCTTCAAAGTTGTTAAAAACAAAAAGAAACGGGCTCCAAAAGAGAAGCCCTCAGGTGAGAAAAAAGAGTTTCCGAAGCCCCCTTTGAAGCTAAGGAGCACGGAAGCCGTTAAAATCACAGCAAGAGACCCAAGTTTGTATAAGGGTATCTTGCCGCTGATAAAACCGAAGGTAAACCCAAAAGATACGGGTACCGTGATCCGGAAAATCAGGAGAACTTTAAAAAAGGAGGTTCTCGTGATAGTGAAAAAGGGTGGAGAGATCTTAAAATTTGCAGATGCACTGTCTTCGGCCCTGCATGGCAAGGCTGTGGTCACACCTCTAGTGAATAGAAGGTCTCTAGAGATTAAGGATTTGGATGAAGCCACCACAGAAGATGAGGTGACTTCAGCACTGAGAGAAAAGCTGGGTAAACCTGACCTGACGATGGAGTGTCGACTTTTGCCGCGCTACAGAAGAACTAAGGTTGCTCTGGTACGTCTGACAGAGTCAGAAAGTAACACTCTGCTAAAGTTTGGTAAAATAAAAATCGGCTGGATAAATGCTCCAATTCGCGAGCATGTAGCTAGGTGCCAAAAGTGCCTAGGTTACGGACACAGAACCCTATCCTGCAAAGGCCCCGACAGAAGTAAAAACTGTCGGAGATGCGGCGGAGAGGGACACCTCGCGAAGAGCTGTAACGATAAGCCGAAGTGCCTTACTTGCTTGGACCTGGGGAAGCCAGAAACGGATCATGAGTCCGGAAAGAGAGCCTGCCCGGTTTACAGGGAAGAACTGCAAAAGATTAAAAGGGCAAATTATAAGCATTATAAGAGATGCTCAGAAACGGAAGAGAGAGGGTGACAGTCCAGAAGAGACTCGAACCAAAACCGATAAGAGGAAGAAGGAGGAAGCTCCTCCAATGGAAACGGAAGTACCAGATCCAAAGATTCCTCAATTGGAAAGAATTGGGTCAAAAAGATCCACAGTTCTAATCCGAGTCGGTCAAGGATTGACGTATGCTGACGTTCTAGGTATGCTTCGCAAAGAGGTTAACCCGGAGGACAGTCATACGAGAATAGTATCAGCAAAAGCTACAAACAAGGGGGACCTTCTGATTAAGTTCAGAGGAGACTCCGACAAGGACGCTTTCACCGCCGAGGTCACCAAAGCGGTTGGAAGCATGGGTAAGGTGCAGTCATTGGATCGAAGAGTTACACTCGAGATCCGTGATTTGGATTGCCTTACCCAAGAAGCTGAGGTGCAACAAGTGTTGTCTGAAGCAATGGGTAAGCCAGGAAACAGGAGAGTGACGGTCTTAGGACCCAACCGCCGAGGGATGAAGCTCGCGGTTGTAGTCACCAATCTGGAAGAGGCGAACAGGCTGGAGAAATTGGGACACGTAAAAATTGGTTTTATGTGTTGCCCAATCAAAAGAAGAGTAATGGTCGTCCGGTGTTATCGATGCCTGGGATACGGCCATATTGGAGCCAAATGCCAGAAGGAGGACAGATCGGCTGCGTGCTTTAAGTGCGGTGAGGCCGGTCACAGGTTCTCCAACTGCAAAAAGAACGCAAGCTGCTTTTTGTGCACTGAAAAGTTTGGCAATAAGGTGTCAACCACCCATATTGCAGGCAGCGGAGGATGCGGAGTCTTCAGGTCGGCCCTTGAGGAGGCGAAGAAGACTCTTGCAAGGACTAAAAGTAAATGAGAAGTGTTAAAAGAAGAGAATAGTTTTTAATTGTTTATTTTATTTACTTTGATTATTTTTTGTAGTTTTTATACTGTCCTTTTTACATTTTATTTTTAATAGATTAATTTTTGTTTTTATGTCCGTTTACAATTTTATTTTTTAACCTTTTAATCTTTTTAACATTTGTTCCTTTATTCTTTCACATTGGAATGGTTTTTAATTTTAACTATTGACGCAGAAGAACCGCAGAGAGAGAACAAAGTCGCATGAGCGACAGAGTCGGAGCGCCACCCTCGAAGGCTAAAGTCTTACGACAGTTCCGAGGGAGGGTAAAGGGCTCCAGAAGAAGGGTTACGGGTTTTAGTGGATCGGGCTGGTAGTAGGTCGCCAGTTTATTAAATTTACTATAAGATATATATTTATTTTTCCTTTTTTTTATATTTCCTTTTGTTTTATCATACCAACCCCACATAACCTTGGAGTGCGGAATCCAAGGTATCTGTAGGCAGATTTCCCAAAAGTCCCTAAGCAAAAAAAAAAAAAAAATAATAATAATAATAATAATAATAATAATAATAAGGGTAAACTCTGTGAAGAGATACCAGGATGCACTCCCTTTGCGGAAACTTCCTGCTATCTTGGAGAGACACATCGACCTTCACGTCCGAACATACATGTTCACGTGCCCTTGGATATCATAGACGTCGCATCAATGCTCCGGCAATGCTATAACGTCTATGTAACTAACGGAGGCGGTTCAGGGCCCATCCTGGCCAGATGGTAGTACCCTGTTAAGGCCCGATTGTCCCTCGACACGGGACAAAGAAATAAAAAAACCAATGAAATGGACAAAATTTTAAACGAAATACTCCAAGTGGGTACCTCGAAAGAGGGTAATCCCACCACCGATTCTGATCGGGTGCAAGCCCCGATAGTCGGTGCAGATGGCTTCAAGGATTTTGGAGGGAGCCAAATAGATAGCCAGGTGACATGCTACTAATCAAATGTCGCAAATCAGTTTCTGGCTATTCCGGGAATTTTTAAAAGCTTGCGCCAAGGATTCAAGCGCCAAAGAAACGTCAGTCGTGACATCCAGGATGGCGTGACGGTCTTGGAAAGTGCGTTCGATATAATCTGTAAGAATTTACGTTTTATCCCCGAGCCTTTTAAAGACCAAGAGCCGCAACATCCAACTGTGGAAGCTCTACAGCAAAC